GTGAGGAATGGTTGAAGGAGCTGAGTATGTTTAGCCTGGAAAAGAGGAGATTGAGGGAAGAGATGAGAGCCATCATGAAATATCTCAAGGGCTATCACATGGAAGATGGAGCAAGCTTGTTTTCTCCTCTGGAGGGTGGGACTCAAACCAATAGCTTCAAGTTACAAGAGAGGAGATTTCAACTAAACATCAAGAAAAACTTTCTGACGGTAAGAGCTGTTTGACAGTGGAAGGGTTTCCCTTGGGAGGCTATGGATCCTCCTTCATTGGAGACGGCTGGATGGCCATCTGTCATGGATGCTTTAGAGGAGATTCCTGTATTGTGGGGGTTTGGACTAGATGACCCTTGTGTACCCTTTCAACTCTATGATTCTATCAATATCCAGATCAAAATCTGTCTGTTTGGTATTTTAATTTTTTTTAAGAACCAACACAAAATGTTTCTAGTTGGATGCAGTCCACACAGCAGCAGCATAGCAAGAATAGTGGTTAGTACTAGCAGAGGCCAAGGTGTGTGGATATGAAACACCACCCAATTGAAGACTTGTCTGGTCCTTTTTCCAATATTATGACTTGTCTATGATTTTCTTGGCTTGCCTAGGCAAAGCTATTAACTAGCAACCCAGAGCGGTAATAAAAGGCACCAGGAGCACTTTTTCTGCTTCTTACATCACTCCGGCAGCTAAAGAAACAAACATTCTCTACCCTTGTAAAGGCCTCCTTACATCAGAATGCAACTTTCTTTTAAATCTCCAAATGCTTATTTTATTTGAACTTTTGTCTGAGGGAGAACCTGAGTGAAAATGGAACAGAATTATTTATCTAGTTACTCAAGGCAACGTTATCTAATGCGCCACCAAGCAACAAGAGAGCTTGGCTCCAACTTGAAAGCAGCCTCACAAATGAGTTCATGAAAGTTATTGCCTTCGAAAACTTTTTACTAGCCCTCCTCAACTCTTGGCCTATGATGCTCCTTTGCCTTTCCTTAGGGCCCGAAATAAGAAAAGTGCGGGTTGTATAAATTTAGCTACTCTAGCCGCTTGGAGATTTAAATCAGGCCACCGAGTGAAGAAGTGATCCTCTTTAAATGAGGAAAAAATGTGAGCGTTTGAGGGGAAAGGAAGAGCAGGATAATAAAGAGAAAATCTCCACCAATCTTGGGTTAATGTATAAAAATATAAAATATATTATATATTTCACTGCACAATATAGTTTTAAACACTCTGCATGTTATATATATGACAATAGAGATATTATTATTATTATTATATTATTATTATTATTATTATTAAGACATTAAAACTGTAGTATTGCACTAGATCCTTCCTTCCCCTTAAGGTCTCTATGGGCAATGTTCTATATTAACATTGAGAGCATAGGGTTTGCTATTTAAAAAATGAAATAAGGGAAAGCCTAGCCAATGGATGAAGAACGCTCCCAAACAATTCACAATAAGGAGGTAAAGAAACCAGCCTTATTACACATGAAAGGAAAAGACGAGCTTCATTGCAACACCTTGGCAATCTTTCCTAAGCTGTGTAACTTTTGTTTTTTAACTACTTTCAAATAAACCCAGAAATGAACGGATTTCACACCTTGGCTAAACTACACCAGCTTATTGCAGAGGAATATTAGCCACACAAGGTAAAAATTAATAATAAAAATGTAATAGAAAGGATTAAAAAGCCATATGGTATCGATTTTCTTCTACAAGTGTGATTCCTTTGTCCTCAAATGATTTACACCTGTATTTACACTTGCAATATCATTGAATTGTACATTCACCAGGTGATGTTTTTGGAATAATTTGCTTTTAAAAAAGGTCTCTTGGTTCCAGTTAAATCGTCGATGGCAAGGTGAGATGAAGTGGCCAATGAAATATTTTCAAATCTGCTATGTATATATTTACATTAAATACTTGCTATAACTTTGCCTTGCCAGAGAACTGGAATAACATATACAAGGCTCAACAGACCATTCACACTTCTCATGCGTAATGCTGTAACAGGGAAGATTATGTCATTCCTAAACATTCTTTTTTTCTGATCTTGTGCTTTAAACAACAAAAGAAAAGGAAAGAATTTCTGGATCTGGTAACAGTAAACTTACCTATATATTATCTCAAACATTTCCTATTGATGGATCCAGGTCAACGACCACATTGTTGCTCCTTTTCTTCTTGAAATGAGATTCAGAAACAGTGTTCTAGGTGCTTGCTTGCATGTGTGAATGAGTTACACCAGAGGAAACACCAGAGGCAACTTCCTATTGCCTCAAAAATGTTTTGTGTGTGTGCAATGGAGACACTGAAGCTGTGAATTACAAAATGTTGAATAAGCGAGATGTACGTGCGTGTATCGGGCTGTGGTATCCCTTTGGATGAAGCTGGGACTACAACTCCCCTCAGCCTTGACCAATGAGCAATGCTAGCGAGGTGGGATGGGACTGAGGGGCACTGGAATCTGAAACATTTGGAGGTCACTGATTGGTTCAAAATTGGGAAAGGAGTATGACAAGGCTGTATATTGTCTCCCTGCTTATTTAACTTATATGCAGAATTCATCATGCGAAAGGCAGGGCTGGATGAATCCCTAGCCGGAATTAAGATTGCCGGAAGAAATATCAACAACCTCAGATATGCAGATGACACAACCTTGAGGGCAGAAAGTGAGGAGGAATTAAAGAACCTTTTAATGAAGGTGAAAGAGGAGAGCGCAAAATATGGTTTGAAGCTCAACATCAAAAGAACAAAGATCATGGCCCCTGGGCCCATCACCTTCTGGCAAATGGAAGGGGAAGAAATGGAGGCAGTGAGAGATTTTACTTTCTTGGGTTCCATGATCACAGCAGATGGTGACAGCAGCCACGAAATTAAAAGATGTCTGCTTCTTGGGAGAAAAGCAAGGGCAAAACTAGACAGTATCTTAAAAAGCAGAGACATCACCTTGCTCACAAAGGTCCGTATAGTAAAACTATGGTTTTCCCAGTAGTGATGTATGGAAGTGAGAGCTGGACCATAAAGAAGGCTGATCGCTGAAGAATTGATGCTTTTGAATTATGGTGCTGGAGGAGACTCTTGAGAGTTCCATGGACTGCAAGAAGATCAAACCTATCCATTCTGAAGGAAATCAGCCCTGAGTGCTCACTGGAAGGACAGAACCTGAAGCTGAGGCTCTAATACTTTGGCCACCTCATGAGAAGAGAAGACTCCCTGGAAAAGACCCCGATGTTGGGAAAGATGGAGGGCACAAGGAGAAGGGCACGACAGAGGACGAGATGGTTGGACAGTGTTCTCAAAGCTACTAACATGAGTTTGACCAAACTGCGGGAGGCAGTGGAAGACAGGAGTGCCTGGCGTGCTCTGGTCCAGGGGGTCACGAAGAGTCGGACACGACTAAACGACTAAACAGCAGCAACAACAACATGTTGTATCCCCCTGGAACCTGATAACAGTTTGAGGCAGATCACAGCTCAAACTAACAGTAATTCCACATTCCATTGCTACCCTTGAAATCAAAGGAGGAGAATCATATATAACAAAAGAAGCCATTTATTACTCACAGGATCTGCTATGTTTTAAAGGACGTTACTAGAGGAAGAATTTAAAAGTGTTCAATATATGTGGAAACATATACCGTAATTTGTATATTTCAAGAGATGTGCATTTCTCCACCACACTCCCCAAACAAAATTAATTTGTTTGTTTTGTAAAAAAACAACAACAACCCATTATTAATTTTTTCACAAAATTCCTGCAAATATTTTGTTTGTACATGATTCCCTTGTGCCCACACATCAAATTTTGATTTAGGAAGATTTCTACATGAATAACCTTTGCAAGTGATATTAAAAACCTTCATGATTTTCCCAAGAGTTATTTGTTGTGTGTTGTCATTGCAGGATGGACCAATATTGTTTTTGCTTTGGTTTAACATAATTAAAGAAACTTGCACAGCACTTTTGTGGTTGCGATGTAAGGTAGAAATTATTGTATAACATACTTAGCATGTTTGGGGCATTTATTATAGGCATTTATTTTTTCAGTTGCATTGAAATTGCTCAAATTCCTGTGTTCATTCTGTTTCCCTTGAGGTCCTTCCCAAGATCTATAGTCCTTAGGCCTGACCTTCATTGCCGACTGAATAACAAGCAAATGGCTTTTTAAAAGACCTTCTTCCTCAATATCCTTTGCTTTGTCTAACTCCTTCAGTGGCCTCCAGTGCCCCTTGAATGTATATGTATATATAATTTCATGCACATTTTGATTGTGTGTTGTTCTTTTTTTTAAAATCCTATTTTGTAAAAATAAATAAATTACTAAATTGATATGAGAATCAAAGTCCTGCTAATATCTAAAATGCTGAACATTTGTACTAAAAATATTGATTTGTTGTGGAGCCAAAAGCATATAGCGAAGGTACAAAGAATTTGTAATAGCCCCATTATCACAGGTTCCTTCTATCTTTCTCGGAGATTCCACCCGCAGCACTTGTCTTGCCCTGGGCACTGGCAACCCACACTATGCCACTGCTATAAAGCAGCGGCTATATTGCTAAATTAGAGTGTCCATCATGTTGGGGTCATTAATTAACTTGATTATGCACCACCATGTTAATAGGGGGTCTAAATGACCCAATGCTCATTTAATGAAATCTTTCTTTTAAAGAAAACCACCCTGGGGGAAAAACCCAACACCCCATATTGCAATCATGGTTCAAAATGCCCCTGTACAACCAAACCTTTAAGGAGCCTATATGAGCTATAGTGCAGCACAACTTAGGGGGAACAGGTGCAAACCCCTTTAAGATCAGTTAGGAGCAGGAGCCCAGCATGGTTTAATTTTCTAATGGGAATTATGACGATGCGAATCATTAACATCCATATTTTCCATACACGTATCCCTTTATCCAAAAAGCAAATGCAAAACACAAAGCATCTGTACAATTATTAACCAGAAGGAATGTAGGTACATATACAGAGCAACAGACGATAACTACTGCTAATTTTTTCCAGAGCTGAGAGTCAATGCTTTAATGAATTTGCTTTAATGAATGGCCCACCAATTACATGGCTTTCCCATAGACTTTGCTCCCAAGCTGAGTAGAATGCATGAGAAACAAGGAAAGTCTGTCGTTTTTGGTATCCATCAAAGCTTTCTTCCATGTGAGGAAGTAGCTAATTTGTCATTTCACACCCAAAAAGGCGTGAAAAGCGAAAAGGGTGGGTGGGGGCAGCAGAAAGGAGGAAAACTGGTAAGAAGGCACTTCAGTGTACGGGCAAACCTTGAGATGATGAGATGCGACTCTTGTTTGATCTCAATTTGGGCGTTATAAACCAGCTCCACTGATGCCAAAAGACTACATGGCCACAAGGCTCTCCTGGAGGAAAAACTGAATTCTGTCAGGAAAACGGAATCTACCAAACAACAGAAAAGTTAAAAACAAACTAGGAATATTTTACAAAATTACAAAGCTGCCCAACTCTAACTTGTGCGTTATTTACACATGGACGTTGTTTTCATTTCATTTCAATAAAAATATAAAGCATTAATTTCCCCAATGCACCCCCGTCTCTAAAATGCTCAAGACCTTTACAAAAAGAATACACAGCTAAGGACAAAGGCTGACTCTGCCAGGTTTGGCTGGCAAATGGCGTTTTCCTTGGTGGATATATTTGGGCTGCCATTTGCATCAAAGAAGCAAATGCAAACCAACAAAGGAGTCTAAAGTAGCAGAGGTGATGTGATACAGATGGGTAAAAATGTCTTAAGAGACAGACAGGAGAGATGCTGGCAAAAATCCCATTACCAACTAATAGGATTTGTGTGCATAACTCCCATTCGCTTCTTAAGGAATTTTACTCTCTTCGCTGGCAGGTCCAATTTGAGTCAACAGGTCACCTCAGTAGATGGCCTTCAAACTGGTTGCTACTTACACTCTAGGGAATGAAGCTCTACATGTCTTCTGAAAAAGCGAGGATTACATTTGTTTGCATGTGCTATGGCCCGTCCTGTCCACCCAGACAAAAAATACCAAAGTGGACCTATGTGCCCTGAGACCCCATGTGGTAAAGGTCCTGGGAGGGACATTCCTTGAGGGATGACCAAGAAGCTGACCAAGAACCTACAACTTACCAGGCTACAACTTTAGGCCTAGGAAGGAACAGAAAGGGCCCAATTTTGTCAGCTGTGTGGATGAATCCCTCACACGCTGCTACCAATGGAGCCTGGTGTCCATTTCTATGTGTCAATGCCTCCACGGACAGGGTCAATGTGCTAGATCATGCCCTGGGAAGGGTTGGTGTGCTCAGCCCAAGAGGTCTGATCTAAGCCAAAGGAGTTATGGTGCAGGGTGATGCCTATCTGGGATGGATCTTTTCAACAGACCCCAACACTTTAACCAGCCTGCTGTGAAATGGCGCGGTGAAACCTAGCGACTGTTCAATCAGCCCATTGTCCATGTTTTTAAACAGAAAACAACAGAGCAGCCATTCGGTATGTCACATAAATTAACTCTCCGGAGCCTGAGATGCAAAGGAAGTCATCTCAGTTGAAACCAGGGGACATCGGAACAGCACACAAGTTCTGAAGAAGTCCCTTCATTGCTAGTGTATTCTTCTATAGGGGGGTCTCATATACATTAACGACTAGGCATGGACTGGTCTCTCTGAGAGAAGCAACATCGAAAGGGAGGGCCCAGAAAACTAACAAAATTGTTCTCATTTGCAAAAAAAGTCATTTCTTTAAATAAAATATGCAGACTATGTGGACGCGGGCGCAGTGTGTGGGGTGGCCGGCTGGTGATGCCTGCGGTTCCTTTTCTTCTTGATCTCCTGGATGTGTTTCCACTTGGGTCCTCCTTTGTTCCGCTGACGCTTCTTTTCCCGGTGCCACATCTGCTCACAGTACTCATCCAGGCTGAAACTGGGGCTGCTGAGAAGCTGGATGTAATCCTTGTACCGCAGCCGGGACTCCGCTAGCAGATCCCTCCCTCGCCCTTCTTCATCCTCCGTCTTCTGGGAGCTTTCCATCTGCCCATTCTCGATGACATTTAAACTCAACTTCACAACGGTTCGCACAAAGGTGTGCTCCTGAGCATTGCAATAGTAGGCCCCCGTGTCCTTTTTCTGCAAGCTGCGAATCAACAGCCCATATTCCGTCTTGATGATCCTTTCATCCGGTTTCAGCTGTGGGTGGAAAGAAAGAAATACTGTTGTCAGGCTTACGGAAACAAAAAGAAAGTTTTCTGTAAGTTGAAGTGAATGCCAAAGGTGGAGAAGGAACAGCTGACAAAGAGATCTGGTCACAGAACAGGGAGCCCATGAGGTCTAAGTTCAGTTTTCCTCGCTCATCTTCAGTTTTAACCACCATACACCTTATCTAAACTAGTTCACCTTGTGGTTGGCATCTTGTTTAAAGCAGGTTGCTGTGCCTAAAAGTTCACCTTTCGTACACTAGAGATTTTTGGCCCAGGTGGACACTGTGCTGGCATTCTTGAACACCCTTCTAAAGCCTATCCCATACAGAAAACATTTTCTTCATTTGGCTGCTAAGGTACCAAGTACACCTTTGACAATATAACTATCTTCTTTTGCACCAGAAGGGGAAAAAAGATAAATTTGACTACTGCCTATACAGAGAAGGTGGGGAGAGGCGAGAAAATGGAGGAACAGAAAGCAATGGACACTGCAAGGAAACGGGAAGTGTAATATCTCAAATAGTCCACTGTGCCTGCATCTGGGACAAGAGTGTGTGTTTTGTTGGTGTTTGCGCTGCAAACAGGATTCATAGGGGTTAATAGAGACCAGGTTCATGAACAGATTAAAGGTAAAGGGTAAAGGAATCCCTGACCATTAGGTCCAGTCATGGCCGACAGGGGTTGTGGCGCTCATCTCGCTTTATTGGCTGAGGGAGCCAGCGTACAGCTTCCGGGTCATGACTAAGCTGCTTCTGGCGAACCAGAGCAGTGCACAGAAATGCCGTTTACCTTCCCGCCGGAGCGGTACCTATTTATCTACTTGCACTTTGACGTGCTTTCAAACTGCTAGGTTGGCAGGAGCTGGGACCGAGCAACGGGAGCTCACCCCGTTGTGGGGATTCGAACCGTCGACCTTCTGATCGGCAAGTCCTAGACTCTGTGGTTTACTTTGGTTTACTTTGCTTCAAACTGCTAGGTGGCATTCAGAAGCGATGGTTGTGGTTTTTTTGGTTTTTAAATGTAGTTTTCCAAAATCATGCTATGAATTCATATTGAACCCTTGTCCTTTCAAATTCCAATTGGTGTCGGGGGGGGGGATGGTGGTATTTTTCGTATTAACAATTTCATATGTTTTAGTCACTGAGGTATTAAACAGTTTGTCTTCAAGTCTGCTAATAACACAGAATACGCAGTATTAAAAATAACGGGAAAACCACAACCATCTTGTAATCGACATAAGTGCAGTAAACATTTCCTGATGTGAAAGCCAGCATTTGATTTCCTGACATTTTAACATTTAAGTAATAATTATAGTGGTTACACGACAAAAATGTCAGAATTTGTTACTGAAAAGGTAGGCAATTGTCAGTGAATGAAGACAAGGATGAAACGATATAATCTTGCCAAATCGGAAATGCTTAACTTGAGCAGGTCGATTCAAGCTGGTGGTCCTGATCCGGAGCAGGAAGATTGGAACAGTTTTTTTGCAGCTGGGAAGCAGCTTCAACCCACTGCAATGTAAACTGCTTTAGATGAGATCCTATAGAAAGCGATAGGATGTATGCAATTCCTACAATGGTTTTCACAAATCATATACAGGCAGAGCAAAGCAGACCCTTGATCTGCTTTGCCAGAGGAGGTTTGGAACAATTGGAGCTGCCTCTACCAGCCTCTCCCCAAATGGACAGAAGCTACTGCTGGGACTATCCCTGCTGGTGGTAGCCTCAGAAACGGTGTGGTTCATGGGCAGAGAGGGGCGGATCCTGTGAAGGCCCATGTCCTGTGACACCACAGCAGCCACAACCTGGGCTCCTTTGCTGTGCTAGCCTGGCATCTGACAGAGAAGAGGGCTACCTTTGAAGGTGACTCGGAAACTACAGCTACTCCAGAATGCGGCAGCTAGACTGGTGACTGGGGGCGGCCGCCGAGACCATATAACACCGGTCTTGAAAGACCTACATTGGCTCCCAGTACGTTTCCGAGCACAATTCAAAGTGTTGGTGCTGACCTTTAAAGCCCTAAACAGCCTTGGTCCAGTATACCTGAAGGAGCGTCTCCACCCCCATCGTTCTGCCCGGACGCTGAGGTCCAGCGCCGAGGGCCTTCTGGCGGTTCCCTCATTGTGAGAAGCAAAGCTACAGGGAACCAGGCAGAGTGCCTTTTCGGTAGTGGCGCCCGCCCTGTGGAATGCCCTCCCATCAGATGTCAAAACGATAAACAACTACCTGACATTCAGAAGACATCTTAAGGCAGCCCTGTTCAGGGAAGTTTTTAATGTATGATATTTTAGTGTGTGTTTTTTGGTTTCTATGGAAGCCGCCCAGAGTGGCTGGGGAAACCCAGCCAGATGGGCGGGGTACAAATAATAAATTATTATTATTATTATTATTATTATTATTATTATTATTATTATTATTATTATTATTTCTTGCCCTCCCCACACTTCTACCTTGGTCAGTGAGAGTGGCAAGGCTCAGTTCAACCCTGCCAGCACTCTCAGCCACAGAGGGTTGAATGGCAACTTACTCACACACTCCAAAGCAACTACCCTATTCCGAATTTAATAATGGAAAGCATAATGCTGGTAGTCAAGAAAAGAGGTTTAAAGACTGTCTCAAGGCAAATCTAAAAAAAAAAAAGTAGTATAAACACTGACAACTGGGAAACACTGACCTGGGAGTGCTCCAGTTAGAGAATACCCTTTACCAAAGGGGTCATGGACTTTGAAGACACTCAAACTCAGAACCATAGCTGTCAACGTTTCCCTTTTTTAAGGGAAATTCCCTTATTCCAAATAGGATTCCTTGCAAGAAAAGTTGACAGCTATGCTCAGAACACAAGGGAGAAACGTGCTAAGAGGAAGGCATGCTTGGCAAATCCACACTGTGATCAACTCCCACCCAGAAACCAATGTCCCCACTGTGGAAGGACGTGTGGATCCAGAATTGGCCTCCACAGTCACTTACGGATTCATTGTTGAAACCGTGTTTATGGAAGACAATCTTACTCGGCTATGAGTGATTGCCAAAGAAAAAGAAGACGACTCACGCTTTATATAGTGCTTTTCTTAAATGCTCAGAAAGATCCCCCGTGGATGATCTCTGTAAGGTTGCTCAGCACAGTCCCTCCCAAATTGCAAATAGAGGGCTAAGGAAGATTGGCTTGGTGACCAAGGGAATGTCTGAACCTGGGATTTCTGTCCTGGCTCCCGGCTCACAAAGATGCTCCTTTGGAAGTCTCAGTGTGTCAGGAAAAAAAAAAATGGCATGCAGAAGGCAGCGCAGCGTTCTTCTACTGCCACACTGAGGCCCACGGGGTGAAAAGCAGGGAGGGAAGAAAGTTCAGCCTGATTCTGTAGTATGCAGCAGCAGCAGGGACACTTCAGAAATCTCAGCACCATGCTTGTTGTACAAGGGGACTATTCAGAGACACAGGGCTGTTGTGAAAGCTTTGCTCTTTTTTAAAAAATTGAGGGCGTATGGGGAAAAGAGAGAGAGAAAGAGAAGGGAAGCTGGAAAACTGCCTGAAGCGCACATGTGCCTTTCTAGCAAACTTCAGAAGGAATATAGTCAGGAGGCATGAAGATGGCTAAATTAAATTTATTCACACTGGGTAGACTGCACACTGTTTCTTTATGTGAAAAATATGTGGACAATTCCCCCTCTCCCTCCACAATATACATACATACACAGCCTGGCTTGCTACCATGCAAACTGAACCATGGCTTGAGAGAGATCTGTGCAGCTGTCTGGATGCCACCCTGCCGACCCATTGACTGCATCACAGACCACTAGACAGCTGCTGGAAAAGGATGTGTGTATGATCCAGTAACCAAGCATAGAGCTGGCGGCCAGGGAGGGCTTCCGGCTTCAGTTTTATCCTTCCCCCTCACTTGCAGTGTGGCTTTGGGCAATAAGATCCAGACAGGGTCGGATTGAGACCTTTAAAGGCCCTAAGCACTTAAATGATTTTGGTGCCCCCATAAATATCTACTTCAAAATAGAAACAATAATAAACTGTAAAATAAAATTGGCTTTTTGGAAACAAAACCTACAGTAAGATGGAAATTAATGTTTATTTTTGTATACTTCCACTTTATTTATATTTTTTAAAAAATCTACTACTTTTTCTAATTGCAGAATCTTTGATCAGATCCTCAGAACTAATCTTGCGCCACACATCTGCTTCTATACATAGTAGAGATACGATGCCCAGCCTGCCTTGCTTCAAAGTTGTTCTGTGGGGATTTTTAACCTGAGAAAATGATAGCTCAGCTGAGCAATTTGAGTCCATTAATGTTAAAAATATACAAAAGAAAATGTCTTCATTTGGAAAGGCACTCAATATTGTCTTCTACAATTATTTTGTAAAGTTCAGCATCACTGAATCCTATTTTTCACATTTTTTGTGGCACTGAACTTATGATGCACATATGAGTGGAAGTGCTGAAGCTTAGCTAAGAAATCAGTGTTCAAGTCTTCTGGGGAAGCATCAATCAGTGTCAGCAGGACTCGAACCCATATCGCAGCTTGTGGATACAGACTGTGAGGCCCCCTTGTGTCATGTGATGAAATGAACTTAGTCACTGCCCACCACCACATGAGAAAACAACAACACTGTCCTAATAAACTTAACAGAATCACACTATTATATACATGGCAATCAACTGTCATTCACTTTTTACATGATGCCTTAGAATTGGTAATAAACAAAATGAAACTCTAGGGTGATTCCTTTATCAGTTATCACAACCAACATAGCATGTGGCATCCGAAAAAATGATGTGTAAGTTCGTGTTTAATTTCATTGTAAATTGACACATCAATTGCCTCCAAAAACTTTGCTGTTAATATTTTGCTCCCTGCCAGAAAACAAAGAAAAGTTATCTCCAAAATTCTTGCCAAGGCCTTTAAAAAACCTCCATATTTGGAGAAATCCCCTCCCAAAATCTGGCAACTGAGCGTTGCTGCATTCACTCTCAGTGGACGC